CGTTCATGGTGGAAAAAACATTTCGGACACGAAGGTTCTAGAGTCGAACATGTCCAACTAAAGTTTGCCGTCAGAACTAATTATACTCTCGAAGATATGTTTGTGCAAAAGAAACCATCACATCACATGCTGCAACGAAACCCAAATGTAATCGAACAATCAACAGTCAATGAAGACAATCCACTAACATGAAAAGACAACACAACACAATAAGCACGTCGATCACCATAACTTACATCGACTAACATACTAGATTTCTACCGATATAAATAAATAAAAACTACCTCGCCCTACTAAACATCTTTCTCTGTTCTTCTTCGTAGCATTACGATTCGCTGTATAAAACAAAACTAAACAATTTCCTTCCTTGTTCTAGATATATTACATTTTACACGACATGTACAACCACCAGAACATACATGTTAAATATATCGCTACCTGAATAACCTGCCGCAAAACATTCACACAAACAACCAGACAAAATCACTCACAGACGACAAACGGATATTCTTCACTTTAAACAACACTATTCTGTCATCACCTCACAATATCAACAACACGAATCAGCCGAAACGCGTCGTAAGTATGCTTGGTTTCTGAAAAATTCAATTCTTTACACACTCCACCCACCCACACCCACACCCACACCCATACCCTGTTTCCAACTATGGTAGAGGTATCTGTAGGATTTCTGGTTGGAGAAACAACAGATGTTCATTTTTTTTTCGTTCTGTACATCATATTTACTTTCTTTGTCATATGAATCATTAACATCTGTCTCGAAAATGACAGTCTATCTGTCGAAACGTCAACAATTTTAAAAAATAGAAAATTAAAATATAATTAAAATAAAAATTTTCTCTATTAATATTGTAAAATAAACAAAAAATTCATATTTAAACAATATGAAATTTAAAGCTGCTGTTATCTCTGTTAAATTTATTATCAAATTGTTACTCATGAAACAAAATAATTAGAGTCCATTGGGTACAAACTTTTAGGATCCGGATTCAATTAGGTCCACATTTGGTATCGGCACTCACCCGATGGACTGTATGCAACACCTTGTTGTAACAACAGGCAAATTTTTTTAGTTATTTTCTTTTACTAGTAATATAGTATGTAATCGATAAACGATCAGTGTCTATTTATTATGTAGTTCTTCTTTCCTTTTGTATTCATGATCCATTCTTACTGAACAAAATATATTCGTTGTTATTCTATTACAGTTCAATGAGAATGTGGCTGTCAGTGAAGCGAAGACCTACATCTGTCTTTTGATGATTAACTAAAAATTTTCGTAGAACTTGATGCTTTTCTATCGAAAAATAAACTGATAAAGTAATTTATTTTACATAAAAAAAAAAAACTTTGTCCTTCTCTATATGAACTTGGTTTGAAATACTTGCCAGTATTAGTTACAGCAGTTCCTTATTCAAAGAATATGCTCTGAAAGCAGTTTTCAAACGATACGATCATATTGCACATTGTTAATCTGAAAAAAAAATGTGTACCTGCTTATTTTTCTTAAATGTAATTAGATTTTGGTATATTTTTATTACTTCAGACTTGATAATAAGAAAATAATAATAACAACATTTTGATTCATGACTGTTACAATGTCTCGATCTCAAACCTGATATGTTATCTCTAAAGTTACTAATTAAATTTTCTATAGTGAGGTCTTAGTTCATACTTGCCAAGCTGTGTGTGAGAAGGTGGCTGATCACTTGTCCAAATTGCTAGTCAGAGAAGATTATGTTACACACTTATGAACAAGAATGGAATGGAATGGAATGATTTATTGTTTAAAGCAGCAAGTATATATATATGTGAGAACAAGGAAAGGTGAAGAATTCTGTGGAAGGTGAAAAGGTCACCAGAAGAAAGAAGAAGACGAATACACACACATATATGTATAGAACAAAAGAAGATATAGATGAAATACATATGACGTCGTAACAAAGAACGGCAGAGATGATACATATATGATGATGCCACTTAACATAAGCAAATAGCGAGTATAAACAGGAGAGAAAAACTGACAAATCAACCGGTAGAAGGAGGTCCTCTAATATGCAGTTCGCGTCGTTTATTCAAGGGAGATCTTCTAATGTGTCAGGGTTTTACGAGAGCTGAAAGCAAATTTTCGTTGGATAAGAGCATAATCATGTTATACTATCTCAGACTTTTTTCTCTTAAAGCTGAATCAATTCAAGTTGACCGTTGGTTAGCGAATGAATAGTTATTCTTTCATTATCTTTATAAAATTATGCTTCTTTCATGTTTATTAGGTAATTTTACTTTCTAGAAGATTTATATTTCTTTTATTCTATTAATGTTGTTTTTGACGAAAATTCAGTTATTTTCTTCGTGCTTAAGAAAACATTGTTTTTTATTGTCTAGAAGAAGCATGTAAAAATGATTTATCAGGATAAACTCTTTCTTATTTTGAGAATATTTCTAGCTTTGTCCAGCGGCCGCATTGAGATGGGACTGAGTCCCCAGCACTCAAACCTTCCAGAAAAATGTTGAGTTGTTACTATAGGTACCACTACAGAAAGGCAGAAAAAGCTTAGCCTTCCTGACTAAAAAGCCTGGCGTAACTACTAGCTTTATTCTGAATAATTCAACTTTTTAAAAATAAAATAGAAAACGATTAATAAAATACAAATCAAGCTATATACTAAATAACTTGCTGGGATAAACACTGCAAACTAGCTGCATTGCAGAAAACCATAATCGTCACAAGCACGCTCAAAATTTTCTATTTTTCCAAGGATAGAAATAAATTTCAGACTATAAATAGATTTAAAGAACTTTCATGTTCTTTAGATGAATCAGGTACAAACGTATATTAATAGTAAAAATTCAGAAATCTGCACATTACTGAGTCTAGACAAGAATATGACTTAAGACTCTAAATGTAAACCGAAAACAGGCTGACATAAATGAAAAACTTTTATTACACCAACATTCATAATAAGCTTTGAATTTTACGTAGAAGCTTAGACAAAAAGATTAGTTTCGCATGATGTTTAAAGATGATGAAAGACAATGATCTTTTAATAGCAGAACCCTTGTTTGAAAGGCAGAATTCATGTATTAAGACTGAAACTATCAATGAAAATGGCACATTTTTGTGATGTAATCATTATTATTAAATATTATGGGCTGCCTAAACTAATGTTATCAGCGGCATGAATAGATGCGTGCTAACTACTTTTTGTTGATGAATATGAATGAAGCGATAAACTATGCGTACTTTCGTAGAGTCTGGATGACAGTTTTACTGAGCACTGACAACTGTATAGTCAGTCTCCACCGAATGTTAGCGTCTTAGTGTTCGTCAGTGCCGCAGTACACTCAGCGTCGGTAAATAGCGGTCGATTTTTCAGTATTTTAACTGAAACTGCGCGTTTCTGTCCACATTTCTGATAATATATAGATATATTTACAGTTTCCTTATATGTATGCCACTTTGGCTGCTGGATCAATGATTCTGAAACTTCCAATGAGACTAAGTACATTCTCTAGAAATATTTCACTAGTCCACTAGTGTCGTCAATGTCATTTTTGCAATCTGAAGTGCCACATCTACACTTTAATTAAAAAGTGCTTTCTTCAATAAAAATCGACTCCAGCGAGGACTTCCTTAGAAATAAAGATTCTTATTTCCAAAAACTCTTTGTAAACAATCTATTACTTAGCAAATCCTCCGAACCAAATATGCAACCTGGCGTATTGGAATTCTACAATAAGGTTAGTTGCTGGCAGTGCCGGTACTGCTAGCACTGCGTTGAATCGTTTAAATTCACCAACCGATGTCTTTTTTGATGGTAACGGATACATGTATGTCGTTGATAATGGCAACAATAGAATTCAACTTTTCCCTCCGGGTAACTATGATATACCATCTAGCACTAATTGATTAATACATATTCAATGTAGGATCGATAAGTTCAACTTCTGCAGTAACAGTTGCTGGATTCACTACCGCAGGTGGTAGTGGTTACAGCGAGATCAATGATCCATACTCTATTTTCGTTGATTCTGACGGTACGATGTACATCTTGGATAATGTAAATTCGCGAGTCGTCAAATGGATAGATGGGCAACCTTTAGGGTTTACTGTTGCAGGCGGTCACGGAAATGGTACAACATTGGATAAGATAGGAACTAGCTGTTCCATCTATCTTGATGATCAATCAAACATCTATATTTCCGAATACTCAAATCACAGAGTTACTAAATGGCTGAATGGTAACACGACAGCTGGTACCATAGTATGTATTATTAAGTGACGATAGGTTATTATTGCTAATCGATCTATATAATTTAGGTGGCTGGGAATAACACTGCCGGAAGTACATTGTATCAACTTAGGAATCCATGGGGAGTGTTTGTCGATTCAATGTACGGTGTATATGTTGTTGATCGAGGCAACCACCGGCTACAATATTGGGAGCTAAGTAAGTATTATCACTTTGGAGTTTTTCTGCGTAATAGATTTGAATGCTTTGCAGATGCTGTTGTTGGTGTAACTGTTGCAGGCCAGTCGGGCGTAGCAGGGGCATTTTCTAATCAATTTAATTTACCTACAGCAATCACATTTGATCAATTTGGAAATCTTTACGTATTAGACTCGGGTAACGATCGAATTCAACAATGGGTTCCTGGTTCAACATTTGGTGTAACAGTCGCATCAGTTGCTATGGGTATTCCAAAAGGAATGGCTTTCGATCCATCTGGAAATTTGGTAGTTGCAGATACTGGAAACCATCGAGTTATTTTATTTTCAGTTATTTGTCGTAAGTTGGATTATTTAATGACTTTTATCACATGATTTAAAACAAGAAAAATATTCAGTTTCAGAATGTTAGGAAGTCAGACGATTCCTTCTAATTCTATTCTGGTGGGAGAAATTATTTTCTATGCTGATTATTATATTTCGTGAGAGATGTAACATGTGCTATGAAGTGTATCAGTCGAATAAGTGTTGTTGTTTTCGAAATGTAAGGGCGGTTAAAATAGAAGGTTAAATCGTGAGAATTTAGCACTTGTTAGACAGTTGGGCACTATTTCGTCATCCATTTTGTATTGATCATAAAAGAGGTGTATTGCTAGAGATCAACACAAAACATGTATCAGTGTAGTATCCCTGAATATGCCAAAAAAAAACGGATGTATAATATTGCACTGAAATCCATTTATATAATGAAAAAAGTTATGCTTAAAATAAGTGCAGTAGTTAACTTAATACAGTTTTGAGTTACAGCTTATAAGGTGAACAGAACATTATTTGATAAAATCGTGCAGATTTAAAATTCTATATCGCTAGAAATACTTTTCATAGAGCAAACTATTCACAAATGAGGTAATTATAACAGAATATGAGACAATCAAAGTTGATGAGACTTCGGATTATGAAACGCAGGACGCTGCCAAAGCACAGATTTTAGTTTGATGAATCGATTTCATCAGCACTTGCTACGTTGCAATTTATGATAATGAGAGGCACTTGAAAGTGAGCTGATCAGCTCGGATTAGAGGCGTACAGATTATGCTCATTTCGCGCTCATGAATTACAGAGGTTCTCCTATATCAGGAACATGAGGCAAGTTAGAGCTATTTTCAAGTTTCATTAGGAGGCAACAGTAAAAGCTTTATCAAGTAATCGTAACGGATCACGGATATTTTGGCAGTTTCTCAAACGAAACATAATTTCAATAAAATGGCTCTTATTTCATAAAGTTTGACACTAGCCTTTTTGGGGTAGCTGTTTCACAAAGATTTAAGTCTAAAAGACTCCATTGCACAAGGATCATTTAATTTTACGTTCTTCTTTAGCCCAATGCGGATGAATTGAGATGTTTTTCATGCCGCATAATAGAAAGATCTATTCATTCACTGATAGATCAAATAAAACCATGCACTTCTCTTGGAATACCAGAGAAAACAGTTTCCTTGAATCCAATTGATCGATAGAAAAAATTATAAGCTACTCAGAATTTGGCAGCGTTTTTTCTCTATTCTGAGGACAAAATATCCGGTTATTTCCGCTGATCAGCGAATCAGTCATGGTCCTCTTCTATATTGTTTAGGACCACTTTAGTGCGTTTGTTTTGCAGTAAAAAGAAATCAGAAATTAAATAACATTCGGCTGAAGCAAACAATGAAGCCTAGCTTTAAGTAAATTAAACTCTAAATATAAAACAACATAAAGGACCCTGGCGAAAATGATGACTATGTCTGAATTAAGAAACGAAATATATCATCTTGTAGAGCTTTTCAAGGCGCATCTAATGGTATATAGGTAATCTATTTTCCAACAAGTTTATAATAAGTTAGGTCGAGTTTACTGATGAGGCGATATGACTCCAAATAGTGATAAATAGCTGCTCAGTGTTGATCAACATTGTTCATCGATGGAGCTTTTTCA